ATATATATATATATATATATATATATATATATATATATATATATATATATATATATATATATATATATATATATATATATATATATATATATATATATATATACGGTATAGGGACGATGATTTTTTCTAGTGAGGGAGAGAGAAAGCTGCCGGTTTCCGGCAAGCCGGTGAAACTATTCTCCGACCTATTCAAAACGGATGATGACGAGGGAGCCAGGTTTGCTAAGGACTTGCAGGTTGCAGACATCGGTAAATCCTTGGAGAGGGGAGGGTTTTCTGGACTCCGTGTTATCTCCATTAGCAGATTCACCAGATGTATCTCTCAAAATGGGATCCTCTTTTAGAGGATAAACGTGACAGCCCTTTGGCTCTCGTCTGGGTCACGCTCAAGCACATCCCCTTCTTCCTTACAAACGCCCAATCCCTCTCCTCTATTGTGAAAACTCTGGGGAAACCAATTCAAATGGATGAGACCACAGCGAGGGGTGGATATTTCAATTCTGCAAGAGTTCTGGTGGAGATGGACGCGTCCAAACCCAAACAACCTGCCATTCTGGTACGTACTCCTGCATGGGAACGTGAAATTCAACTCACTTATGACCTTCCTTCTTACTGCATAACTTGTGGACGCTAGGGTCACTGCTGCAAAAAATCCCAACCCGTCGGAAAAGTCCTCACCGGCGGGACAACCTTGGTAAGGCAGCAAGCTGATAAGGAGATCAAGCCAAATAACACACATCAGTGGGTCCGTATTCAGAGGAAAGGAAAGGCACCAGCTCATAATGTGATGGCAGGCATCCAGCACACTCAGGCTAATGGGCAAACGAACAAAGCCAAGAAATGCTCAGACATTCCGGGCCCTTCCAAGTTGGGGTACATAGAGCAAAACAGGCCCAATTTACATATGCATAATGTTAGTGGATCCCCAAAAAGCCCAAGTGTCTCACCCAAACTTGAAGCTGGGCCAACTACCAGCCCATTGGTGCACAGTCTCTCCTCAACAGGCCTATCCAGCCCATCTAAACTAAAAACTACCAAGGCATCATTTTGCAAACAGGTAGGAGCTAATAATGAACACTCCTCTCCTTTGAACTACCTGGCACTTCTCTCCACCGTTGAGGACATTGACACCCCAGGTACCCCTACATGCATTCACTCTGATGAGGATGGTGAGAGGGCTTAGGATAAGAGTCCTCTTCTTGTCCTGGAGAACAATTTTTCTCAGGCTAATATCAATGCAATCCCTTTCATGAAGGGTAGAGGTCTCAAGACCCCTTTGCCACCTCTTAGCATGTCTTTGAGGAACAGAACTACAACTAAACCCAAATCACTTTGATGTTTTTGCTCTTTTGGAATGCTAGAGGAATAAAGAAGTCTTCCCCTAGACTTCAAATGCTTTCTTCTTCTCACAGTCTCTCTTTTATTGCTATTATGGAACCCCTGCTAGATAATAACCAGTTGGAGGATTATAAGCATAAGTTGGGTATGACCAATGCATCCAACCATCTGAATAATCAACTATGGATATTTTGGAAGGAACCAAGTCTAATTCTGATCCAAACAGTTGAATGCCCCCAAATCATACACTGCCAATTCACCTCAGCTGCAATGCATGGCCCATTGTGGATTTCTTCTGTCTATGGCAGGCACACCAGGGCTGAAAGAACTGCATTATGGAATGCCATATCATCTAGGGCCCCTAGCATACATCCATGGATCATTGGAGGAGATTGTAACTGCATCCACAGCCTTGACCAACACAAAGGGAACTGCAATCCTTGCAATAACTCAGTGGAGGATTTTAGAGAATGCATGGAAGCTGGCAATCTCCTTTACATCCATCCTTCAGGAGGACATTTTTCTTGGAGTGGGAAACGAAGCAATGGGAAGCTTTGGCGCAGACTGGACCATGTTTTTAGCAACCAACAGATGCTGGATAGGACTAGCAGTCTACAACTCTCTATACTTTGTAAGGGAGCATCAAATCACAGGCCTTTTCTCCTGGAACTATCTTTGGATACTTATTCTGGTCCCAAACCCTTCCGGTTCTTGGACTTGTGGGTTTCACACCACACTTTAGAAGGCACCATCAGATCTTTTTGGGAGAACAATAAAACCTACAATGGAATGAAAGGCCTTGGGAGAAAACTAAAGGATCTCAAGGCCATTTTGTCCAAATGGAGCAAGGAGGAGTTTGGTAACATCTTCCAGCAACTTAATGAGGCAGAATCTAGAGCAAGCAGGGCACAAGACCATTTTGAGGCAAACCCAAACCCGGAATCTTTAGTTGAATTTAACAAGGCCAATGCTGAATTACTCTTATTTTCCAAAAGAGAAACTGACTTTTGGAGGCAGAAGTCTTGCATCAGATGGTTAAAAGAGGGGGATGCAAGCACAAAATTCTTTCATAATGTGGTTAAAAATAGGCGCCAGAAGCTTAGGATCTCCTCCATGAAGGATGATCTTGGCCTGAACATCGAGGGGGACAGTAACATTGCTTCACACACAATTGATTACTACACCAAGATCTACTCTGAAGAATCAGTCAGTATTAACCTAGAACTGCTCTCATATATTCCTAAGAACATTAATGAAGGGGATAACCAAATGCTTTGTGCTGTTCCACAAGAGGAGGAAATGAGGGGGGCCATCTGGGACCTCAACTCCCATAGTGCACCAGGCCCAGATGGATACACTGGGACTTTTTTCAAAACCTTCTGGCACATAGTCCATGAAGAAGTGACTAGAGCAACCCAAGAGTTCTTCCTGGGTCTGCCCATTCCTAAATCCTACGGGGCAACTCTCCTCACTCTGATTCCTAAGATGGACAACCCTAAATCTTTGAGAGATTACAGGCCTATCTCACTGTCCACTTTCCTCTCAAAAATCAACACTAAGATACTAGCCAATAGACTGGGTGCACTACTTCACAAACTCATCAGCCCTGAGCAAAGTGGGTTTCAACCAGGTAAATGAGTGGAAGAAAACATCCTCCTTACCCAGGAGATGATCCACTGCCTTGACAACCCGTCTGGAAGTGCCAACATTGCTATTAAAGTGGACTTTGCAAAAGCATTCGACAGAATTTCTTGGCAGTTCTTAGAGGTTACTCTAAACTCCTTTGGCTTTTCCTCATAGTCCTGCCATCTTCTCCTCTAAGGCTATCTTCAACCTTACAATGAGGATTTAAAGGCTATCCACACCTTTTACAAATTAATAAAAGATTTGTGTTGCTTCTCTACCAAAATAATAACAAATATGAATTGGGTAGGAGAAGAACAAAAGATTAAATCAACAACAACAAAAGTCTATAGGCAAGATATAAAATAATGAAGCAAAAATGCCCTTGTGTGTGAGTGTATGAAAATAATAAAAGCTTTTTACTCAAAAGAGCAAGAAAAATAAGAACAAAGCTTTAGGAACACTCAAAAATAGAGAAAGAGGCTTTTAGATTTAATTGGGAAGTTGTTGTTATTAAAATGAGACTTAGAGGGGGTTTATATAGGAGTTTGGAATGTTAAAATATCAGTTTTTAACCTTAAATGCTGTTAGGAAGTGATTAGGGGTGATTTGAATTTAAATTGGCAATTTGCTACAGTGATTATAACGGATCCGGTACCCTTCATGGTAGGGTCAGTACCGTCCGGTACCTAGGTACCGTGATGATGTACCTAAGCTTAAGAAAAGCTATGGATGAATAAGGGCAGATTATAGATGGGAATATATGGTGAAGAAGAGGTGGAATTTGTGTATGAAGTGGTGAAGAAAGTATGGTTGTTTGGAAGAGGTGATAGGGTGGAATGGAGGGCAGGAGAAAGGCAATATTTGGAGTGGTTTTTGATGAAGAAATGAAATGTTTAAATGGTAGAAAGGGGATGCACGAAATTGGGAAAGAAAGAGGGAGTTCTTTTGTGGTTTTTGTTGTATAAGGATAAACCAAATAATAAATAGGAGATAAACACGCTCTTATTTTATTTGGGGCTGTTTATTTTCACACAATAATATTCACTATTATTATATGAAATAGACTCCTAACACACACTCAAAAGTAGCCAACTTTAGAGATATTTCATTAGGAAATGGGGAGAACTAGCTTCACACTAATTCAAATATTTTACTCGAGTAAAGAGAATAAGAATACAATATGGTGCTGCATTACAAGGCCCTTGGCCGAAATAAATAAGGGGAAGAAAACTAAGGGGAAGCTTCCTACCACTTTCCTAAAATCAAGTGTATAATATCCATTTGTTTGATGTCTTTGGTTTGTCCTCATTGATCAAGGTTAAAGGATCAATATGGGGTGTCTTTGAAGAGGGGAATTCGGCCATGTGAAGGGTGAGGAAGGGAGGTGGTTTGGCCATGTGAAGGGTGAGGTGAAGGGATGGATTTTTGGTCCACACATGAGGAATAATACATCAAGGATTATCCTTTATTCCTTTGGCTTTATTGTGGATTTGAAAAGTGATAAATGGGCCATTTGGGGGGCTGAATTCGGCCATGGGAGCAAGGGGGTGTGAAGGGGTGTGGGTTTGATGTATTACCACAACAGGACAAAAGACATGTTTTATTCCTTGTCCCCTGGTTTGTTCCTTTTGTAGTGGGGAATTTTTGTGATAGATGGGGACTGATTTTAAGGACAAATGGGGGCATATTTTCGTGACTTTGAAGTAGGAAAGGGTGGGGAAGGTTCTTATTTGATGTAAGGAATATTTAGGGAAGAAAACAACACTCACATTATTTTTGGGTAGTACTTTTCCTTTCAATTTTGGCCAAGGCTTCAAGGGAGAGGAGAAGGAATTTATTTGAGTAGTAAATGAAAATAAGATACTTTTGGATATGTGGGAGTGGGTTGGGCTTGTAGGCATTTCGGCCTAGGTTGGGTTTTGGGAGAGATAGGTCATGATTTAGGTTTTGGTGTGGGATGGATCAATGAGTTCAACCCAAAATGGATCATAACACCTAGACATTAAACACTTGATTTCTTTTAACACTTGTGGTGTGTGTGAAGGTGTGACCCAGGATATATCTCGTGAGCACGGTACAGCCTACCGTTTGTGGGTACCGTATAGGCCACAAATTGGTTTCGCCTCTCGCGGTACCTAGTTAGTACGGGTTGGGCCAACCGTCGTTCCCTACCGTTGGTAACCAGGTACCGTGACACGGTAGGGCGGTACCGTGTACTTCTCAAGTGAAGTGTACAACGGTACGTTCACTTGGCTACCGGCAGTTTGTTGTTGTTGTACCCTACCATGCATCACAAAAGGGTAAGAAAAATCAGGGGTTAATACTTGAGTGTTATAATCCTAATTGGGTTGAATTTATTCCTTTTTCCCATAAAAAAGCCCAACCATTAGCCCTTGTTGCCCAAATTCCCCCCTAACCAAATAACAACCCACAAACCCTCTCCCACAACATCCAAATTCATTTCCTCTGCCCAAAATAAAGTCCTTGTTATTCATTACTAAGCCTAGGCCGAAGGTGAACAACAAAGGACAAAATAAAACCTTTGTTTTTTCTTAGACATGATAATCGATTATCCAACATAGATAATCGACTATTGCTTCCCTCTGATTTCTCCTAACGTATTCCTGCAGTGCTCCATAATGGATTATCTCCCAATAGAAAATCGATTATCACACATCTCTAAAGATATCCAGTTTGAAAGCGAGTCCTTGTTAATCGATTAATCTTGTAGTGTCAATCGACTACTGGATACCTCTGAAAATTCTTGGTTTAGCAGACACACCTTGTTAATCGATTATCAGTAAGAGATAATCGATTATCACCTGTCTCTGAACTTAGAAACCAAAGTGGTCTTTGATTTAACAGTAAAGGTTTTGTCATTTAGGAACACACTTGGATACATACAATTTCCACTATATATGGACGAAATTCCCATGTTATTATTCAACAAAATCAAAGACTTTTACAATACAAAACAAAGCTTAATCCCTCATCCATGTGCCTGCCCAAAAAGTCTTTGATTG